ATATATATATATATATATATATATATTATCACTATATATATGTGCTAATCGTATACAATGTTTGGGTTTCCGAATTTTTTCAATTCCCTTAAGTCTAACAAGTTGTAAATCGTAAACACACATACATGCATAATGTCTGTCTGTTTGTTGGAAGAAATCTCTTCCGCGCGTTAAATGCATGTGCTACGTTAAACACAGCGGTATCGACTTTCTTGTCGCGTTCTGTAAAGTGGCATTTAAATGTATCCGCGTAAATTGAGAGTTTTCATATATTCTGTGCCTTATCGTTTGCCTTTTGTCTGTCGTGTCATCTCCATCTGTATACCAGGTATGCATCTCGTAAACATTGTAACAATTACAGAAACAATACGAAACAAAAACGTAACCATATCACGCGGCGGTGTCATCAACAAACGTATACATCCGCGGCTTTGCTACGCGAGATTGAAAAAGAGGGCACAACGCGTTACGTTATGCAATCCTGATAAAACTCTAATCTGCCCTCTTTTTCTCGCTCTTCGTAGCTTGCAATCGCGCGCCGCATTGAAAATAATCGTCGGATGTCGTCCAAGACGAATCGCGCGAATCGACCATCCCACGAATATTCTTCATTAAACAAATTTTACAGAAAATCGCGAACTCCACGCACAGAAACAAAAATGCATATAATTATATAAAAAAATACTATAAAATTTAAAATGTGAGAAAACATCACACAACTTTCGCGATCGTATCATTGTCCAATAAAAAACGAAAAGCGTAATCTATATCTGAATAGAATAATGAAGAGAAAGAATTTCTCATTTTGATTACGTGGTAACAGTGTTTATGTTTGAGCATTAAAAATATCGAATATTCCGTGTCCGAGTTACATTCTAAATCGATCTCTTTTTATTAGTAAGTTTAATTAAGTACACAGTCTTGGCGCAAACATGCGCACGCTGCAACCTATGGCACTAAGTATTCACGTTATTTTTTGCATTCTTTAATTTTAATTTCCCACCCAGCGCGAAATTTATCTTCTTTACATGCAATTCGCGCTGCCACAACAAGCTTTTTGTTTCATTCCGTCAACATTCGAAGATCTTGCAATAATATTATCCGTCACGAATCGATCATTTAAGCGTGACATTTAAGGAAAAAAGATAAAAACAACTTTTCCGGCGAATTATCAATCATAAATCATAAAAATCTTTAATTTACGACGATATAAAATTATCAATTTAGTTTTTGAGACAAAAATAATCGTATTATATAATAATTAACTCAACGATATATGATCAATGTCATTCAAATGTAAAAATTTCCACGCAAAAATAATCGATCCTTATAAATATGCTTGTAATATAAAAATAGGAAAAAAAAAGCTTCAATGTTCCTTCCATATGATTTTTGTTATTTTGTCTTGCGTTTCCTTTTTCATTCTTCCTATACCTTTTTGATGCGTATTTTTTTTTCCTTGAAGAATATCTAACAAAAACCAAGAGGTTCACAGTCCTCTCAGTCCTAGGCTCGGCACTCGTAACTAGGGTTCCAATCGACCGGTGCTGAAGCCCACGTTCCCAACTCCGTATAACCCTTGCATTCACTTATGGCAACGAGATCTTAATGAAATCATCATCGATCAGCGTTAATCGGCATTCAGATTCCTTAAAACTATGCTTTTTGTCTAGTGCCCCGCATACGGTTTCCGTTTTTTTTTTTTTTTTTTACATACCTGTCGTGTAGAGGAAAATGTAATCTCGGATTTCTTTCCAAGTAACATTTCAGAACATGTATTTGTGCATATGTTCTCCCAACATACGTGCGAATGCATGTGCTCTCGTATACTCTCGTTTTACTATACGAGTACATGCGAGGTCTTCATTCGATGAAAATGACATATCGCGCACGCGTGCACATGTATAGATCTGCATATGTATACGTTGCACCCAATCGTCGATAGAGGCATAACGGATAATCACTCATGTACACATTTATACATGTGCATACACGCGTACCGATAAATATCATTATTAAGAGAATGAAAATTTCTTAAAAACATTCCTCGATAGCGGGGCACCAGCAAGAAAGCTGTTTCTTTCGAGGATCTCTCCGTATTATTCATTTTTCTTGCATGTATATAAGATACAAGGGTTAATTACGGGGGATGGGGGTGGACTTCGCGCGCCCTGCCGATCAGGACTTGTACCTCACACAACTCCCTAGTTACGAGTACCGAAACCTAGTGACAATAATCGATTGACTTACGATTGCGCACGACTTTTAACTATCTCTTGGTTCTCGGATTCGTCGCATATCTCGATTTCATTATTCCTTCCTTTGCATTGCTCTCGCTCAATTCGATTCCAATCACACACCTGCGCAAATTTACTAAAAGATCCTGCGATTTTATTTAGTACATTCGTTCGATCCTTGTAGTCTCTGTCTTATCTATCGTTATCTTAAATTCATATTATGTCGTCAATTTTTCGGTAACCTCAAATTAAAAATTCGCAATAAATTAAACATATATATTCTATTCGTTTTCGCTAATCACAATTCACAAGCACACCTTATTCGATTCATTCTCCCTGTCTCCCTGTCTCATATTCTCATTCGCTCTCTATCTTGCACACAATCCCTAAGTTATTCCGATCGTTCAGTTTAAAAATAGACACAAAATTCATTTATTCTTTCTGTGAAACGCGTTATGAGCCTTAATCCTATTACGTATATTCAGATCACGATTAATATCAGCAAGTTTAATCGACTATCATCGGTTCAAACTTATTCCCTCGTTACTATAAGCTTCGATCGAGAAAGATGTGCGCCGTGACGTCATAGAAAGATACGCGCGTGTACGCCCACGAGAGAGGCTACCTAAAGAAAGTAGACGCCGCGTAGACGATATAATGCCTGTCGTAAACACGCCTACTACGCGCGATAGTATCGATCATCATCCAACGCGCGCTGCATTCGAAGCCATTAGCTACCGCTTAGCGCGTGCTCTCGTCCCTCCACATATAAATCGCGGTCAATAACGGCATTAAAAAGAAAAGGAATAAGAAAAAGAAAAAAAAAGAAAAAAATAAAAGAAAAGAAAAGAAAAATGGGACACTGACTGATACGAATTATCCACGCCTCGTCCGCACTTTCTATACCGGTGGTAAAAATTTAAGGTTAAACAATCGCGTCTCTTCTCTTCGGTGCCGTACACTTGATACAGTCCCTCATTGACATGTGACGTCGAAGTAATACATTGTTCTAGCCCCCTCCCCTCGCCCCTCTCGCTCCAGTGCTCCGTTATTTTATTCGAACTGGGAACGCTTCACGAACCAGCGAAACTATTCTCTACCCACTCGATTTTCTCGCGCGCCTCTCTCTATCCACCCTATCTCTAGCCGCTCAACGACCTACTTCGAGAAACGACGTTTCGCTCTCGCGCGCGAGACCGCAAACGCGCCCTTTTCCCCTTCCAATGCCCGCTGCTCTTTTATACAAATATCTCACACACGTCTGTCTCATCTATCTCGCGTTCTACGCCGTGCCGCGAGAGACCTTCGAGGATAGCCAGGAAAGAAGGTTGTAAGAGAATGAGAGAAAAAGAGAAATGCGAGAGATGAAACAAACAGCTTCACTCTCGAAGAGGTTTACGCGCGCGGACCACGTATCTCATTATTTCCGATAACCGCCGGCTCGCAGATAGACCGTTTGTCCCGTTTGCACGAAGAGCAGAACGCGGAATTGGTTGCATAAGATTGCAAACTAGCCGCAAGCTCGTTCGGCGCTCTCGCATAGCCGATAATAGCCCATTACGGCTGGTTTCCAAAACGGTTTCGGGCAAGAATATCTCTGAATATGTTTTGAAAGCGGATCGCTTCGAGTGAGGACCGATGTCAACGGACCGCTGTCTGCCTGGCACGAAACAGATTTAGAAACATTCTTCCACCATGCCACGAGACGAAGTCTTACGTAATCAAATCCACGTCGAATCTACGAGACGAGATCGAACAAAGACTTGCGTAAATTAATTAAACGCGTATTTAATCATCACAAAAAGTGTTTGAAAGTCTCGCAGAAAAATAGAATATACCTGACGGACCTCAGAGAAACGAATGAGAGAACGAATGAATCAAATCGATTCATTAGACTAATCGAGAAAATTAAATTAGACCCTCGATTCCATCGGACTAAAGATCTTTTTCCTTCCTCATCTTTCAACTTTATATTTTTTCAATATTTACAAATTTTTATAAGATATATCTATAGAAAAATGTAAACACGTAATTTACATTTTAATAAAAATAAATCTAAAGAATATACAATTTTATAATAAATAGATACTCAATTGTCTCGAATTTATAGGCAAAAAGAGAACAAAAGAAAAGACTAAATAAACTCAAAGTCAGTTGAGTGTCGAAGAAATTCGGCGCTCATCCTCGCGGAGTAGCATAAGACATTAAATTAAGTATACTTAAGAAAATTCCAACAAGTAGCGCCGGTCCAACAATACAAGACCCTTCATTGCTCGCGTAGAGAATCTTCGATCTAGCGTATTCTACGAATGCCTTCCTTCTGAAAAGGTCGAACGTGGATATTAGAATTCTAGAAGTTGCTACCCACGCGTCTCGACATCGATCAGATGCTAGGTACCGACTACTTATGGAGTACAGACCCGTTTGCTCTAACACAGACTTGTGTGTTTTGACTCCCACGCGTATATATGACCTCTCCGCGAAAACGAATCGAAAAGCGCTAAAGCGCTAAAGCCTCCAACTTAGCCCATTGTTAATCACGATTCAATTATTGCGGCACAGAGATCTTTTTCCGTCTTGCCAGAGAAATATCAATCCCTTAAAGGACGGACTCAATCGTAAAAACGCGATCGATTCTAAAGGAACAACACCATGCGATGTTCCTATGCATCATCTTGTGTCGTGTCTATCCAATCGAATATTCGATACGACTCGATAGATGAGACACACGAAGAAGACAAACACACTAGCGAAACACGATGGTGAGAGAAGAAAAGGATAGAATCACAGAGAGATAAGCAACGGAAAGTATGTCTCGGGAGGAACAAGAGAGAAAAGAAGAGGTCTCGCGGAATCGGCACGGAAGTCGCGTGGTCTATTACGAGCACGGATAAACGGCCGAGCTAATGCTGTGGTAGGCGGCGAGGGCGGCGTGCGCGTGCGCTGGGGGCGCGGATGCGGCTGCGTGCGGCGAGGTGGCCATCGCGGCTGCCATCATCATCTGTTGGTGCGAACGCTTTAGGGAGTTGGGAGTTGTGGCGGCGCTACTTGGGGTAATAGCAGTAGTAGTGGTGGTGTTCGACTGCGGCGCAGGGTGGTGGTTTTGGCTTTGGTTTTGGTTGCTCAGTTGCAGGGGGGTGGTAGTGGCGGTACTGCCGATCCCGGCGTGATTACTATTATTATTGTTATTATTCTGGCTCTGGTGATGGTGGTGATGGTGATGATGGTGATGGTGGGGGGTGAGCGCGTCGTGCGGATAATAAGACGTTGACGATGGTGAGGTACTCACGACGTCCGGTGTGCTGGCCCCGTCCGTGTGGCTGGTGCTGTCGGCGGTGCTTCTAGGTCCGCTGCCATCCAGACCGTTACCCAGCTCGGGTGGCTTTGAGCTCTCTCGATCGTCGATGACGAGGTCGATTGGCATCTTGCCCTTCAAACAGCTAATGTATCGGTGGCAGAAATTGTCGCAGAGCTCGTGAACCTGAAACACAAAAGAGAAAGGAAGAATTAGCTTATTAGCTAATTACTATTATTAGCTTATCGTGAAGAGGAGATTCGAGAAACAATTAGATTGGTTCCGCAATCGAAGAATCGAGATTCCAAAATACTTTCTAACGGAGAGTGATTGATTAATCATATCGCCGGAAATGATTAATAGACAAATTCCATCGAATAAATCTAACCAATATACAGTCTTATTACGGTTGAGGTGGAGAGAGAGAGAGAGAGAGAGAGAGAGAGAGAGAGAGAGAAG